GGAGCATGGCTGGATTAAATAGCTGCTATTGGTAATTATATGACAACTTTTATGATGACAGGATCAAACATTAACTCACTTTTGCTATGAAATACTACTAGCTCCCCAGCCTCTACAGACATTTGTACAGAACTCCATATACTATGGTAAGTCCTGTTTTGTTTTGCTCACAAAAATAATTTCCTAAGAGGCAAAATTTAATTTTTAAAAGTGCCCAAGTAGAACAGCAAATATGCACAGGCATTGCGTAGGCAGTGATGCATCTTACAGACATGTTTCATGAAGCATGAGAAGTACCAGAAGTTTTAGATATGTGATACTAATTTTGCACAATGTTAATATATTATAAAAATAGGTTCCATGTATTTTATATCATAGACAGTAACAGCTGTGGAAGGTGGAGTCCCAGATGGTAGGTAAACTAACATTCAGTATGTGCCATGATACTTAGATTCAACATCTGCTTAAGGATTTCAAACCTATTTCTGAAACTCCTGGCTTTCATGGGTTTAAATCAGACCCTTACATGATATTTGAACATAGATTTAAAAGTGATTCATTGAGCGGAAATTACGTACGTTAGATCTTTATATATGAAAATCATCAATCTGAGGTCTGTTGAATAAACTTGACTCCCTGAACTCAAGAAGTATAAGCAGGATATTTTTCTTGTCATTTGAAATATTTCTTGCAAGTATGGTTTTTGGACACTAGAATGACAACAGCACCACCTAAAGGTGGAAATTAAAATCAAGACTACATTTTTCTTAGCCAGAAAATTTATTTGAAAGCACTCAAATTGTTTTATTTTAATAATTATACTTACTTTTGCCTTTAGTGCATGTGGTTTGGGAGATACTACTGAAATAAAACTGCACTTTAGTGGCATAAAATATATTTTTTGACACTGAAAAATTATATATTTTCCTTACCCATTTTCAGCATGAAATATAAAAATCAGACTGGTAGAAGAAAGTCAGTCATAAGCAAACAACATTCTTCCTTTCACATGCATAACTCCAATGAGCAAGGGGAGATGTCCCATCAACTAAACAAAACAAAGGAAAAGACAAAGAACAAAGATGCTGACATTGGTACGTTTATTGTTTTGTTGTTTTTAAACAAGTATACTAAATTGCTACTAAAATAACAGATTTTGACTTCTTTGTAAGGCTGAATCAAATTTCAGTGAACCAAACAGATAAATCAGCTTTCTAAAATCAACTTTATCTCAATGTTTTAGGTCTCCCACATTTCCCACTGCAGCAGTTAGGTGAAATTAGACATCTAGGTGGCTGTTCTGAATTGCTTCTGAGCATGTACAATAGGCCAAGTCTAGTCACTTTCTAGGCCAAGATAAAGATGCATAAGGATCTAGGTGTCTTAGCATTTTTTGCCTAAAACAGGATTGGGTTTAATGCCCTACACTCTTTACAGCCACATAAATAGCTATATGTCTTGTGACACAAAAGGATCTGAGCTTTAGTCTGTTAAAAGGCCATCCTAATCAAGAAAGGAAAATGACAATTATATATAACTGTTCCCTGCATACTTCCTGTGAGACTTTGGTCTAATTACTGACTTCTGTCCCTCAGTTCATATCTGTGAAAATGGGGATAATTATCCCTGCCTCACAAAATGACTGTTAAGATAAATGCTTTAAAAGATACAAAGTGTGTGTGGGAGGCAAGGCCATAAGTAAATATGGAAAATTGAAGGTGGAGGAGACAAGGAATTGAGACCAGTTACTATAGATGCACCTATGAAATGCATATTATTAGTGAAGGAAGGTAAAGGTATCAATAAAAATGTATGGCCAGTAGAATCAAAAACAATAACAAGCAATTCTTTAAATATATCAGGAACAAAAGAAGCTTTAGCAATGATTTTTGTCTGATATTCAGCAGGAATAATCAAACTGCCAAAGATACGTAGGAAAAGCAGAAGTGTTCACTAAACAGTTCTGTTTTGTAATTGGGAAGAAGCTGGATGAAATACTAATAATATAATGTACCAAATAATACTTTATATTTTTACATTAAATGGAGAGGTTGTTAAAAACAAATGGTAAAGCTAACCTGTTTTTGTTTATTTATTAACTAATCCAATTTATCAAATCACAGGTTTAATATTTAAGGATACATCCAGTACTCTAAAATATACAGAAAGATAGATAATTATTTTCTATCAACAGTGCTCCCTTAATCCAAGTCAATCTCCACAACAGTCTTGCTGAGGGATTTTTTTATTCAAAACATTTTTTTTTTTATTCCTCCCCTCCCCTTCCCTACATGCCCACCCTAATTCATCCCTGTCTTTCACAAAGGCAAACACCTTTAACCACAGAAATATTACCAATGCTTTGTATTCTCCCGGTCCTCCCTGTATCCCCAAACAATCCCTGCTAATATGCCTTTCTCTCCTCTTTCCATCTGTAAAATGTGAAGATTTATCATTGTTCCCAGTAAAGTCAGTAGTCAAAATGACTTTCTTCTGTGGCGAACTCCTTGGGGGTCCCCTGGTAGGTACTTTGGGTAAAATCATGGTATTATTGCAGGGGTGGGCAATTATTTTGGGTGGAGGGCTGCTTACTAGGTTTTGGCAAGCCATTGAGGGCCTCATGACAGGCAGCCGGGGCAGATAAATATTAAATTTCTAAATTTTTTAGGGGCCCCGCGGGCTGGATAGAATGGCCTGGCGGGCCACATGTGGCCCACGGGCCGCGTTTTGCCCACCCCTCCATTACTGTATGGACTTAAAGGTTCAGCAGAAGAAAAAGCCATAGAACAGGCCATTCCTTTTCCAACACACAGTCCATCTTAAATCCCACTTATGTCTCCCCTTCTCCCCTGCCCTTTGGGGATTTTTTTCTTCTTTTTCACTCCAGTCCTTTTTTTTAAAAAAAATTAGATTCTCCCTTTAACATTTCAAGCCTCACATGTTTCTCTACCTAAATTACTTCAGGTAATGTACCAAAAGTAACCAAGCTCTGCAGCATTTACTTAAATAGAAAATCCTTTCCTATTACTCATTTTCATGCAGGTCTTTGTGCAAATCAGTACTTGAAAACTCTCTATTTCATTTTTTTCCTGTCTTTACTCTTCAGGGTTATCATTCTTAATTTTGGATAACATTTCTGTTTTGTGCTTCAACATCTGTGTCTGGAACTGCTTGTGCTTCAGAGTTGTCTTGTTAATGTTTTACTCTAAATACTCTGACCCCTTCCACCCTATCTTTAATGTTGTGCTATGGTCCTTCCTGAGCAAATAGGAGCTAAAGGATAGTCCATCTGTATTTTATTTTTGTTTCGCTGAAATGCATTGTAATCTCTTTCAGTTTTTGTCTTTTCTTTAGAGTGGAGGATGATTTTTCTTGGAAAATCTGGACTTTGTACCCACTCAACTTGCCTGCAGAGAGCTCTCTAGATTTTTCACAATCTGTTCTTTTTTTTTAACATAATCCATTCTTAGTATTTACGTCTCTAGGTTTATTTGTGCTGGGAGGAGCATAAAGAGATCCATGCGCTTTATCTATGAATAGTTAGTGTATTAGTCTCCAGTTTTAAAAGAGCTTTAGTGTTTTTTTCCAGAACTGAGTAAACTGAGTAATTGGAACTCTATATTAGCTGGAAAGTTTTTATCCACATTTCCCCCACTATCTGTAAGGGATAATAAGCCTTTTTGGGGTTTGGCAGTGGAAGAAAAGATGTTTAGATTGTTTGCACTCTTTGTTCCTCAACACACATTTATACATTCAGTCTAGTTTGCCAAGTGGACCCTATCTTCAGTGAAAGCCTACTTAATAGAAGTCAGAAATGTTATCCTTCACCTTTATTACTAACTCTCCCGTCAAAATCATGTCAAAGCTGGGAACCCAGTAGCATACATTTGTGAGATCATAGGAATCACTGTCTCTCACCCCGTTCTCATAAGGAAGCTGGGGGACAGTGGCGTAGACACCCATACAGTCCAATGGGTCGCCAACTGGTTAGAGAGTCGCACCCAGAGGGTGGTAGTGGATGG